AGTCACGTCCCTTAGTTTTCTTAAGGCCCCAAGCACACCAACTCCCATTCGTGTGCACTTGCCCTCCATCTCTCTTTGCTCACAAGGGCCTACCTTCTGGTTTTGTGCTTCTAATTCCAGAAGCTTCTGAGGAGGGGAGGAGGTGACAGAGCAGTGGCGCAGGCAGCAGGGAGGGAGCCGCTGGCTGCAGGGTCCAGCCTGTGATGGCGGAGGGAGGGCCCTGTGCTCCCAGCTCCCCCAGCAGCAGGAGAAGGGAGAGGCGGAGGAGCTCTGGGAGCCCCTGACTTCTCCCAGCGTTAGCTGCACTGGCACCCTTGAGAAGGCTCAGGTGTCAGGACACACCTGTGGCCCCCAGGGCGCCCTTACCTGCCATTCTCTTCACCTTGAGGAGAATCCCTGGGGTGGAGATGTCCCCAGGCTTTTCCCAACCTCTGCTGTTAGTCACTTCAGGCAACAGGCCCCCCAGTGTGCTTTCCATTACATCCTTTATCATATCCCCGCTGCCTCCCGAACCTCCCCACCCCAGAAACCACCAGAGAGAAGCAAATGCAATATATTTGACTGTATTTCAAAGTTGCTTATTGTAAACAAGCTTTGTTGAAGAAATAAAAGTCATGACAAGACGCCATATGAATGCCACACTTCACGTTTTAGAACTCAGAATTCGTGGTATGCAAGCTTTGTAAAAAAGGTTTGCCAGCATGTCTTCTTGACCAAAGGATCGGCTTTGTCTTCACAAAGGGATGGGATGCAGTCGTGTGACATCCCCTTTGGGCTACATATGTGCAGTTCCTGGTAAGTTAAAATCTTTCTCCAGAAGATTGTTAACTGAAAATTGTAAGGAAAAACAAGATCACGTGATGGTGGCAAAGACTTTTCAAATGAGACAGCCATCTTTCCAGATTCTCTGACACGATTGCCTCTTTGCTGCAGGCTACAACCCCTGAACTCCACTTGAGGAGGCGACTGTCCCGTCACTCTGTCCCGTCCTCACCTGCCCAGGAGCCCAGGAGCTAGGGCTTTACCTTGTGGCCATTTTCTGCTCCTTAATTAAGACTGGAGCTGCCAGCAGCGATGTCCTGCCCAAGTCACAGCCTGGAGTCAGGGCCACCGCCTGCCCACCGTGAGCGCCCTCTGGGACTTTCCTCTGCGGTGAGCTGCCTCTGGCGGGAGGCGGGAGACGCTTAGTAACAGGCAGGTGTTCCCTGCTCTGAGGTACCCAGGCCCACGTGGGGCAGCTCTGAAGGTCCCGGTGACCTGTGACATCCGAAGGGGCGGGGAAGATCAGATAAATGCCACGTTCCCTCCAGAACCAGTGCTTCCGCCAGTGTTTCCAACTGCCCTGCTAGCACTGAGTTCCTATGTGCACCCACTCTCCTTGCCTCCTGGACCCCTAACTGATCTGTGTCCCTTGTAGGGTAAGGGCTGGGTCTGCATATGTGGCTTGACTGGTACAGGGTCTAGTTGAGCATGGATAAGTATGGATAAGGGGACAAGCTTTAAAAAGCCACATTATACTATGGCATTATGTTGAAATGGATGAAAGTAACCCCAAAATGCCTCAATTAAAAATCCCACAAGTCCAGATCTTAAATTTACCCCTGAAAATTCCCACAGCTGTCCCTGGTACATTCTCCTAGTCTATTGAAATAACAGCCCTCCTTCACTCCTCTGGGGCCCCCACGGAGGACTCTGTCAGGTGTAAAGAAGCTGGAAGCACTTCTGAAAGCACAGCCAGGCTTAGGAGAAGGACTGATAAATAGGCCAAAGTCTCTTCTGCTCAGTTAGTGACTTTCTCCTCCTTTTGCCAAAGCCGAGTCCCCTTCTTAGTGGACAAAGGTGGCTCACTGGACGTTAACTGGGGTCTAGCAAACCCTCATGTCAACTGTCAGTCTGGAGAGAGGGGTCGGTAGCATATTTCCTTGGAGAAAACAGAAGCATCCATGAGCCACCGGGGGAATGAAAGGAGTTCTGTAACCACGTGCTGGTATTCACGAGGTAAGCTCTCCTTTGGTGGGGTTGTGCCCTCTGGAGCAGCTAGGACGCGTTTGTCTTCCTGCTCACATGTGGTACAATGCTCTGCAAAGACACCCAAGTGTTGCCGACCGCAGGGCAAACTGCCGTGTCCTGGCCATGCGCAGTCCAGTTCCTGCCTTGGCCCAGACTCCATCTTCCAGGGATGCACTCAGCCAGGTGTATGTGGCGCCTCCCAAGGTAAGGCGCCCAGACTTCCAAGGGCCAGGCTGCTGGACGTGGCCTCTGCCGCATGGTGGGTCTGCCCTCGCCGAGACCTTGCTGTCAGCGGGGGCTGGGGTGGGGGGGTCTCAGCCAGCATTGCCCTGCATATACCGCAGGCTCTCAGCACAGCATGGGGGGACTTTCGCTCCAGCCTCACCCCTCCAGAGTCCCTCAGGGCACCAAAGCATCACACACACCCCTCCCCAGTGGGCAGGTGACATTCACAGGACAATCCTGGGGCTGAAGTGACATAACCAGGTGGGGCACCTCCACGCAGGCGTGGGCCGTGAACACTCAGTGCCTGAACACTGAGGAGACATCCTGGCACAGCTGGACTTTGGTGAAGGTTTCTCACAGGAATGAGTAAGAGGATGAATGAAAGATGAAAGAGACAGACCAACGAGGCAGGTGCACTGCCCAGGTCGTGCCGTGGGCGTGCTCAGCGGCCACCTTTCGCTCCTGGCTGAGTCCCTCGGCCACAAGATGCCCCTCACCTGAGGGAGGCATGGGCTCTCACCCCTGAACAGGAGGTGCGCCCCATCATCCTCATGGTCTGCTTTCCTGCAGATCTTTCCAGAAGACAGGGTCCCTCCCCTCTTCCTGTCTTCATCTCCAGATGTGGGCACCAAAGGGTGAGCTTCCATGTACTGAGTACAGCGGCTCATGAAGACATGGGCACACAGCAAACAGCTGCCCAGTGCCTCTCTGCAGCGGGCCTGCACGTGGCTGTGCTGAGCCACGGGCCAGGCGAACAAGGATTCAGGGCCACCACCACGGCCAGCAGCCTGTGCCTGAAAGAGTGCTGCCAGGTCACCACCAACATAGGTCAGAGCCAGGTCTGTCCCTTGACGGGAGGGACACGTGTGCACGTGCACAGACAGATGACTAGAGGGCAGGCACCATAGAGCAGCTGACATCCTCACTTTCTGCTGAGTTTGTGGCAACAGCTCTAAGTCCCGCTTTGGTACCCAATACCCTCTTTTATTTCTTATTGGGAGAGAATGGCGTACTAGGAAAGAGGGCTTAGAAATACTTTCAATCATGAGACACACAGAGAAGCCACACAGAATAAAGATTAAATAATGGATTCAAAAGTGAGAAGTCTCAGCAATATTCCTAATACATAGGAGGTATCTGGGGACACAGCCAAGTTCACACAGACACAAGGCCACCGCAGGAGGCTCTTTAGACAGAGCTTTCCTCTGAAGCAGGCTGTGGCTACCAGGGCGGGGGTCTGGTGGCACTTTGCTGAGTAAGTATGTTGGGATCTTTTGGGGGCTCCTTTCATTTGGTGCTCTGACTATGTAAGGCGATGCTTTCTGCACCCCCAGCCGCTGACGAGGACCAAACGAGGACTTGAGCAGAGTCTGGCTGCGGCCTTTTGGAAAATCACCCATGGGACAGCAGACGCCTGGGCACTCAGAGGACATTCCATGGCTGGCCCTCGCTGCCCCCCCCCCACCCCTGTGCAGCTCACGGCTAATCTCCATTCATATGGCCTCCCAGACTAGTCACTGCCAGGTCAACTTGGGCTTCATTAGCCAAAAGGCATCCGCCTCGGTCTCGGACAAGAACACACACGAGTGAGTGTGATGCTGGGAGAGGCACACGATGCTGGTATTTGGGGTCAGAAGAGAGGTCTGGGTTCCTTTCCATACAGGCTGAGAAGGGAGGACATGCCCTATCAAGACATTAAATAAGTCGGGGATAAAACTCACAGCCCTCCTGATGAATGTGGGAGCCACTGTGCACTGCAGTCAGGCCGGCCTGGGTATGGGCCCTTTGCACCTAGTTAGTGGTATGTGAGCAAACTGTCGAATCCATCTCTGCAAACTGGGGACGATGATGGCCTATGCTCATCTCACAGGGGTCCTTGAGAAGAGAGCTGTTACACAGGCCACACAGAAGTGGGCCTTGTCTGTCCGCTTCTGTTGTTATGCCTTTTAAACCGTTACCCGCAGGACAGTGCCACTGGGCTGACAGCACCAAGTCGCCTTTCTCCCCCGCCATCAGCGTGTCATTGAGTTGTTCTCACACAGCCTCCAGGGCCTGTGGGCAAACGGCCTTGCCATTAAACAGACTAGACACAAGGAATGAGACTGGGGACTCCTCACGTCTGTCGCTCACTGACGATGGTGTTAGCCTACCTTCCTCCCTCGTAGATGCCCCAGCTTAGACTCCCCAACTGCTGGATGTGGTGGCTGGGGTCCCGAGGACATCTGTAAGGCAAGGTCCAGGCCCAGGTCCTGGCAGAGTCTCCTGATTAGTGCTACCTGTCACTTTGTCCTCCTTCCCTGACTCATCAGGCTGGAGTGTCCACTACAATCTCCACTAGAAACCCAGCGGAACTGCTATCCTTTTCAACCGTCATTCTGGAAAAAGGTGGCTACTGTTTTAAAAAACAGAGCACAAAAATGGCGTAATCACACTCAAATGACTTGGTAATGTGAAGTCACCCACTTCCGTCACACCAGCCCCCTCCACAGTGATTCGGAATGACACACAACCCAGATTAGAAGAAATGGGGACGAATCACCGGGTTGGAAGGCAGGCACCCAAGCACAACTGTGCTCAGAACTTGGCCATCGACACATATTCCCATTAGTCAAAACGTAACTGAAGTTCTTTAACTGCTCAGGGGCTCATGACACTAAGAACAGTTAAGACCAAATACCTGTGATCATATAACAAGAAATCAAGTTTTAAAAGAGTAGCCGTATTTTTATCCCTGACTTTTAACAAATTCACATGTGAACAAAGAATCAACATCTAAATAGACTTTTATTTTTTCTTTTACTTATTTGGACAGAAAAGAAAATTCATCAGCTTTCATTAGAGTCTCCCTAAGTGTTGGAAACACATTGAACTCAGAAATAGTGGACCTTGTAGAAAAGCATCACAAATTAAAAATATATTTCTCCATGTGGTAAAAGTGCTTTCAATCCAATTAAAGGACACAGCAAAGGTGTTGGGAACACAATTTAAAATCTGGCCTGCAGCCCGTGGCACTGAGTGAAAACCAAGGACGAGGACGAGGGCAGCCGTCAGGAGGCGAGGACAACGGGTGGCACGGGGTTCGCGAGCATGCTGCCAGCAACACTTAATTAACTGAGTGTGAACACGGAAGAAAGTCCCGAAGCCTGAGTAGAATAGTTTGCACTTGTAAAAAATAAGGGGGCTACATAAACTAGGGTGGAAGGGGATCGTGGAACTCCAGAAATTACTTGTTTCTTGTCTGTGTGACCAGCCAGACTAGTGGACCGCTCTGGCTAAGGGCTCCCGTGGAGACACGTGACCTTGGTTCAGATGGCTCCTGGTGTTTTGGGAGATAAGAGGAGCCCTTGATGCCAGCTGCTTGTCATGCGATCCTCTCCGCCCTGCTGTGAGCAGGCCCCGCCCACAGGAAATCAGACAACCAAGCCAGGGGCCCCTCCCATGTGGGGTCTGCAGTGCCAGCCACACCATCCAGAGGGTACGGCCAGCTCCCTTACTGCACACGAGGGGAAGACGCATAGCAAGTGGTCATCCATAGACACAATTTGCTGCTTGTTTCAGCAACACTACGTATTTCTCAAAACAAGTAATTCTGTCAATGATAACGTGTGTGACAAAGCATAAGGTCCTTGATGGAGTGCAACCACATTTGTTCTGGAAGCGAGCTGCCCTTTCTGGCCCTGGCACAGGCACAGGCACAGAACACGGAACCGTGATCATGCAAGGAGCCACAACTGGGGTGAGCAGGAGGGCCGGGGCAGAAGGGAAGGGACACGTTTTCCTTTAACAGAAGATCTTAAGCAACAGTAAGAAAATAACCTGAAGATATATTTAAAAATAAAAAATAGCATCATACTTCACTGCAACTCCTCTGGCAATCCCCCTTTCTTCCCTGCCTGCCAGCCAAACAGATGCTGTGGGCAGGAATGCCTCGTTCATTGGTCAGAACGGGCAACCACTTCCCCACTCAGCACTGCGCTTAATGGCACCCAATCATGTTGCTTCTTCCCTGGGACCTGTTCTAAGCTGCTTGCACGAGGCAAATTCTGGAAAACGCTCTGGTCTCCTACACAATCATAATGGTACAGAGCCAATCTTTACTGGCTTCTGGTCACCTGCAGACACGGCACGAAAGTGAACCATGCCACAAATGTCCTTACGTCTTCACAAAGCAGGCATTTCTAGCAGAACATGCTACGGCTCGTCCTATCCCTGGCACCTTCGGTGGCGGCAGCCTTGCCAGGTCCTGGTGCTGAGCTGAGCTCTCCTGCTCGCTCCACGGGGGCAGTGAGGACGGAGCACCCTGCTGACCCGAACAGGACTGACAGCAGCACTGGTGGCATGTAGTCTGGGTGTGGCACCCTGTCCTTGCAGAGTGTCACCACGAGGTGGGTGGTCCTTCCCACAGGGGGACGTGCTCTTCTTTGAATAGAAACCGGGACAGCAGCCCTCCTCGGACCAGGTCCATCTGGTCCCTGCAGAGGCCTCGAGTGTCCCTCCCAGGCTGCGGCCACAGCAGGGTCTCCGGGGCTCTGGCTGGGCAGGTCAGGATGGCGGCTTCTCCCTCCTCTCCCTCCCGGCACCTGCTCCTTACCTAAGCCTGGGCCCCGGCCTGGCATCAGTGGGTGGGGGAGGCGTCCTCCAGGCCCAGCAGCTCCCTCACCAGTCTCTCGCCAAACTGTGCCCGGCTGTACCTCCTCACATGGTAGGCGTCTGACATCTTGTACAGGATGTAGGCGTTGTTGACAGCAATGCTGACGGAGAACCAGAACACCTGTTGCCAGGTCTTGTTTGGTTTATGAGAAATGAAGTACCTGTGAGGACAGAGAGATGAGAAGGGCTGACCCAGCTAGCTCCTGGTGGCCTCATTGTGGTCAGCAGGGGCTGGGGGCAGGAACCAGGCTGGGGGTGCCGTGGGGGGCATGAACCAGGCTGGGGGTGCCATGGGGGGGCAGAAACCAGGTTGGGGGTGCCATGAGGGTGGCAGGAACCAGGCTAGGGGGTGCTGGTCAGCTCTTGCTGAGGCTTTGTCACAATGAACTTTCCTGAAGTAAAACAATTCCCATCACAGGATGGGGCGGGCGGAGGAGGAGACACTGAAGCCAGGAGCCAGGCCTTCTGTGGCCTTGTCCACGGCTGTGTTCTGTGCACCTCCCAAAGGTCACATTCGCCCTCAGCTGCAGCCTCTGCAAACGCTCCCTTCGCCCAGTATGCACGCCTTCTCGGCCCCCTCTGCCCAAGCCTGAGGACGGTGCTCTTCCTGGGCCAGCCCAATGGAGGACTCCAGAGATGGGTCCTCTGTCTACACATCTGTCTCCGCACCGAGTGCCAAGTGCGAAGTCAGGGCCTCAAGGCCACCAAGACACCCACAGAGTAGGCGCCTAGCAGGTGGCTCCTCAATGATACAGGTTTCTTTGTAATAACTGCTTGAAGCCCAGTGTGGTGCATAATACACAGTAGATATTCAGTAAAGGCTGGTCCAGTGCCCCCCTAAGGAGTGGCTCCCTTTCACACCTATGCTGGGTTTTCCAGGGAGGGTCAGGGCCTGGCTTTTCCCTCTCCATGTGGAAAAGCCCAGGGGAGGTGGACCGCCTTCCAAGAGGGCTGAGGAAACACCCAGTCACCTTTGGGGATGGTCGCACCCTGCTCTGGGTGAAAGGCCCAATCCTAGTATCTTAGTGGCATACTGAGGTCTGACAGCGACCATCTCTTAGTTCCTGTTATTGATAAGACGGCGCCCGGCAGGAGACGGCACAGTGGGTGTGTGTTTGCACATGCACTGTGCACACCCCTATACTGTGTGCACACTTAAGACGAGACTACACCCGGTGCAGGGGCTGTACCTGAAACAATCAAGTAACAAGTACTGGCAGGCAGAGGGCCCAGTGTAGCAACGCCACAGAGGGCTCCCTGTGGGTGTGGGAAGGAGGGCGGTCTGAGCTAGTGGGACACAGTGGGTGCAGGGTCCAGGCCCACTGTTGTGAAGGGGCAGCGAGGTGGAGAGGGGGCGGGGCTGCCTGGGAGGAGCCTGGGAGGTCAGGAGGACAGGAGGAGGCCTCTGGATTTATCTCACAAGGTCATCTTTCAGTTCTGAAACTTGGGAAACTACTGACCACCCACCAACGTCTCCCTTCTGTGATGCAGGAGCCTGGTGGACAGGACTCCGCTGGTCACTTACTTGCTGTACTTGTCGTCGTATCTGCAGATGTAGCTCAGGTGCGCAGCAAACGCCTCCACGGCCAAGGGGCAGGGGATCTCTACGCCTTTCCTCTTGATGATCACTCCTGAGGAGAAGACAGAGGGTCAGTCCCCCTACAGCACCCTGCCAACGCCGACCACACATGTGCCTGTCTCCACCCTGCCTGGGCGTCCTGATGCACAATAGAGAACAGGGTGGGGTGGGGGCGGGGAGAGCAGGCCAGGGAACACTGGGCCTGGCCTCCTGCCTGGGTTAAAGCAGGAGGTGTGATTTGAGGCTCAGAAGGACATGCCCCAGGGTCCACCCCCTCACCCCCCAAGTATTCTGGAGGTCCCTGTGGACTAAGGGATGGGAAGCCCCCTCTGCACAGAGCCCCTCCCGAAGCTCTGGTTACTCCTTGCTCGCAAGCTTCAATGCCTTTCCCTCCACTAAACAGAAAGGGATGAATCCCAGGGGCTCCGCCCAAGCCCAGTTCCAGGCAGGATTTCAGAGTCCCACTGACAGGGCGTGAGAAGCAAGAGGGCATCAGAGAGCCCTCTGCACCCCTCCACTCCCTCCACCCAGCCCTGCAGGCCACTTTCTTCTAGGCTGCTGCATGTGTGGAAGTGCGCTTGGGATTTTCAGACCGTTTCCTCAGCCCAGCCATTCCCGACAGCATGTGTGAGAACAGAGTGTGTGTGTGTGTAAGGGATCAGTTTAAAGAATTGTGAAATTTTGGCACTACTGAAATGGACAGAGTTGAAGTAAAAATGGCATGTCCCCTGTAGCACAGGGGCTTTATCTGGGGCGCCCCCTCCCCTCTCACTGAGGGGCACGAGGAAGACCAGAGCTGCGTGATCCATCTGTCTAGACCAGGGGTCGGCAAACTTTTGAGACAGAAGAGCCATCAGGGGTCGGCAAACTGCGGCTCCGGCTCTTTGGGTGTGTACATGTGGCTCTGAAGTAAAATTGAAAATGAAAATAAAACTATCATAGTTTCACTTATAAAAATTTCAAAGGATATTATTCACATAATGGTGACTATGTAAAAACATATTTATGGCTCTCGAATAATTTTTAAACTGTTGTGAGGGACAGGATTGGCTCTTCCAGGGGTCGGCAAACTTTTGAGACAGAACGTACCCAAAGAGCCGCATGTGGCTCGTGAGCCACAGTTTGCCAGGCTGTGATCTTTCTTTTTCTTTTGGTTTCTCCCCTGCACCCCCCCCACACCAAATATTGGTTTTTCACACTACAGAAATGCTACACACTATCATCTGGATGAGAGTTTGTGAGGAAGTGAGATGCCGGTGCCCCTACAGATGTGGTCGCACAGGCTGGGGGAGGGGGACAGGCAATGCGTTCCCTGAAGCCCTCTGAGGGTCCGAGGGGCCCAGGCCAGAGGGTTTTGGACTGGACTTGCTTACAGATCCCCTCTCTGTTCAGAGATGTTCTATCGTCAGGTGAGCCAGTCTCCAAGGGTGGGCACGTCCTGCAGCCTCCATGAAGGACTGTCTCACTCCAATACCCTTCCTGAGCGCACCTGTTCTGGGTCCCTTATTTCAGCCACCCCACTTCAAGATCTGGAGGGAAAACATCCCAGTTTCATTCTCGACGCTCCGGTCTTGGCAGGTTTCCCATCTCCAGCTCTGTTTTAGTGTGGCTGACTGACAATTACAGCTGCCTCTGGGTCTAAAGTATCCCCTTTAGGGCCCCGTGGAGTCCCTGTGGGTGTGAGCAGGTCAGACCTTCTCTATAAAGAAACAAAACCCCCTCTGTTCTTTTCCTAGAAGTAGAGGACAGCTGGCTGTGAGTCACCAGGGCTCCCCGGCGAGCCAGGCTCCCTCTTGAAGGACAGATCTCAGACCTTAGTGTTGGCCGAGCCCCTGGAGCCCCCACCCTCTGCAGCTTTGGCCTCTCGGCTTCAGCACAGCCAAGGGTGTCACCCGCCACTGGAGCCTGGCTTTAACTCTTTGCTTCCCTCCCATCCTTCCTCACCTTTGAACTTAACACCAGGATTTCAGCTTGAAATCTCAGTAGAGGGGCTTCAAAACCCAGGTCTGTATTCATCTTCTTGAGCGGTTCCCCCAGGTCATAAACCACAGTCCCCTCCTTCCTGGTGATAATCTGCATTTTGAGATACTAGTCCACCTGGAAAGGGTAAGTTTGCTGTCCTATGATCACCTTTTCTAAGGACTGAAACGCTTTAAACATGGGAAACGTTGACAAGAGGTTATCTGACATTCCTGGTCTGTGCTGTTGTCATGGTCTGTGCTTTATGATAAGCGTGAAGCCCACAGGCTCCCTGGGACCTGCCCATTCCCAGCTGTGTGTGCACCTCTGGGCACACTCTACCCGAGTGGCTGCCTCTGTGTCCTGTGCATAGCTGCATGGCACAGCAACACTCCAGCAGCTCTGTCCGCCATCTCCCTCGGCTTTTTGTGGCTTGGCTGACATTCCTCCCACCATTTTCTGAGTCTGAATGAATGCATCAAGACCTGACTCAGCATCCTCTGCAGACATTGTGGATTGGCATCTGTCTCATGGAGTCTGAGCCCTGAGTGGGCACAGGCTGGTAGGGAGATGACAGACTCAAGGTGGATTTCAGAAGAAAAGCAAAAACATCTGGCTCTCGGTGGGGATGTCCCTTGATCTATTACTTCAGGTAATTTTTTAAAAGCCTGTGCATGTGCTTACCCTCTGAAAGGAGGTTCATTTTTCCTTAGAATCTGGAGTAAAGAATAACAAACCAATTCCAAAAATGTTCATAACTAGTTAGGTATCTTCTAAAATTGGACATTCTACTCAACTTTTAGAAGAGTGTATGCGATCCCAGCAGAGGAGAGTATCAAGCTGGGAGGCAGTCTTCAGAATACAAGAGACTTTATCATCTGGATGACAGGTAAAATAAGTAGGGAAGGGCCGGCCGAGTGGCTCAGTTGGTTAAGAGCTCGCTCAAGAGTTTGAGCTCTGAGCAACAGCGGTTCGAGTCCAGCTCGAGCTGAGCAGCCGCTGAGCTGCCAACAGGTAGCAGGATGGCTCAACTTAAAAAAAAAAATAAAAATAAAAAATAAAATAAAATAAGTAGGGAAAGGTAAATGTATGGCATAAACGGTTGAGGCACTGAGGAGAGCTATTTGGTCACCCAACACTTGCCACATAACCAAATCCTTTGGTGAAGGTCCAGCTGATGCCACCCACCAAAAAGAATTCAAAGTGGGTTACCGTAAAGGCATCTCCTATAAAACAAGCAGACAGTGTCTACTTGGACCCGTTACATAGACACACACTAGTCCCTGCCTTGGGACAGAGCAGGGACTTTGAAAGCATGACAGCAAAGAGCGTGACCAACAGAGGGAGGTGCCTATGCAAAATGAAAGACGTTTTTATGTGAAAAACGCTAACCATAAACAAAAGCAAAAGGAAGACAAATGCAGAAAAGCAGTTGCTATGGGCATAAAATTTGCTTTCAGGTCAATAAGACAAATACCTCAAAACAAAATCTAAACGGATGTGAAGAAATCATTCAAAATTAGTCAATAAACATGTGAAGAGATGTTCCACCTCACCATAGTCATGGCAATTTATATTTAAAATTTTGTAGCATTTTCACCCACCAGGTTGACAAATTCAGAAAAAAAAAAAACCCCAACAGTGTGGGTAAAGCAGGCGGATGCCGGACCCCTACAGCCCACTGCAGTGGCAGCTCCGTGCGGCCTTTCGGTGACACATCATCAGCCTTCACCACATTCACACCCTTTGGCCCAGCATTGCACTTGTGGATTTACTTAAGGAAATGACCAAAGATGTACCCAACATTTAAATACGAAGATATTCACTATATCACTATGCATGCTGTGAAAAAATTAATAACCAAGGGGGAGAGATATAGAAATGCGAACATCTGAAAGGATGGGAAACCAGGTGGTTTTAGACATCTTGTTTTTGAAGTACCCTTCACCAAGAACAAGACTCTGAGCTGTGACTGGGAAGGGGTTTCCAGTGGGAGAGGCAGCTGGCCCAGCCCCAACCCCACTGCATGTCTCCCTGTCTCCCTTTCTCCGTCCATCCCTTGTGGGGGACCAGGCTCTGAGCTTACCTTCATGGCTCTCCCCACACTGCACCAGGGTGGCCTGCCCACCCTCCACCTGGGGAGTGCTTTCCAGGGCACGGAGGTGGGGGTCAGTCTGCGGTGATGCTGAGGGTGCACTCTAGAATTGGGACTTTATGATTCATAAATAGATCCTTTAGAAATGGACACTATAACTGAATTAAACACAAATGCCAACTTGCAGCCCATTTAAAATCAACTCTACCGACTTTCTCTCCTTCCCCCATCAGTGTCCTCCTCACTCGTTCCCTTGGTTTAAGGGTCCCAACCCTTGAGATTGGGGTTTTAAAATTTGTCATCTGAAGTCCTATTGCATGCTTCTTTCTAGCCTCCAGATGCATTCTTCTCTGGATTACCCCATCTCACCCAGCTCAGACAAGTGCAATGTCCAGCTTTGGGACAGCTTTTCAGAGGCTATCACCTCAAATAACTTGGTGGGAACAGCTCCTCACCCCACTCTCACACACGACCCCTGTAAATGCCCATGGCCCACACCAAGGCCCCAACTACTGGAGCAGAAGCCCTAGTCAGACTCTCGCCTTTGGCTTGTGAGGTCAATTCCAAACATTCTCTAAGTGCCCTTGACAGCACTTTTGAGTGGTGGCTTCCACACCCTCGAAACCTGCGTGGGATAAAGACACCCATGAGCCTGAGTCCCCTCATTGTACTCTCCCCTGAAACGAAATGTTACTTCGGTGTGTGTATGTGGGGTTAAGGGATGGGAATAAATGAACAACAGACATTAAACACATGCACGCACACACACACACACACAGACACACATGCGCGCACACACACACATACACACATGCGCGCGCACACACACACACACATGCGCACGCACACACACACACGCGCACACACACATACACACACATGCACACACACACATGCGCGCGCACACACATGCACACATACACACACACATGCGCGCGTGCGCACACACGCACACATACACACACGCACACACACACACACGCACGCACGCACGCACGCACACACCCCTGAGCTCTTTGACAGTGTTCCTTCAAAAGTGAAGAGGAAATATGCCTTAATAAAAGGAACACAAGAGACTTTTTAAATATAGTATAAAACTGTAAATATTTTTGTAAAGTGTCCCTTTGTCACTTCAATTTCCTTTTCCGCAGTTAAATAATGCTGTGGTTAGATATAGACTCCTTGCTAAATAAATCCCTTTGTTATCACTGGACTTTAAACCCTAAGGCAAATGAATGAGGAAATGAATGAAACACCCAGAAAACCCAGAGCGAGACTCACCTCAGGTGACACTGAAAAGAACAGTTGCTTTTTTCCCTCCCATCAGAATAAATTTTTATAGAATCCTAGATGATAAAGTGGTCATGTAAAGGCCATTCAAATATAGCCAATTATGGACCCCACATACAACCTGGGGGACCTACAAGAGGTGCCTACGTCACCTGCACACCCCACTATTGTTTCTGTTGATGGCTGACAAGTGGTGGGAAGCTGCAGCCTGTGGCCCAGGACGCGCCTGCTGCGGGTCAGACCCAGCAGCATATACCACCTGGCCCAGCCGCTGAGCAGTGACGGTGAGGCAGACACTAGGGCTGCACGGCCAGCTGAGGACCTCAAACTCAGGCCCCCATGTACCCTGCTTCAGCTCACCCAAGTCCCTCTGCCGCCGCCCTGTGGCTGGTGGTGCCCCCACCCCGTGGCCGGTGGTGCCCCCACCTTGCTGCACGGGCGAGTAGGCATTGGTCAAGAAGCGGAAGTGGCCTTTGTTGTACCAGCAGATCAGAGACATGTTCCCCTTGGTCCGGATCCGGTGCTGGCCCCGGGCTGGCGGCATGGCTGGGTTGGTCAGCATGGACAGCGGCAGACCCGTGCAGTCACTCTTCCTGGGGCTGAGCAGGCCGCAGCAGAAAATCCCTGGCAGGGAAAGGGACACAAAAGTACACACACATCACAGATGCCACGGCTCCCCTGGCCCATGATGCTGCAGGTCCTGGGGCCAGCACTGGGGAGACAGGCCTGCTAGAGGCCCCTTCAGAGGAGGCTGCTGGAGTCTGGGGACAAGTGTGCTTAAGATTATTTATGACACATGCAGCTATGACATAAGCAGGGAAGTAATTAAGCGCTAACTGAACAGGAGGGCCTGTCAAGTCATCTGCTTCTAGAAACTTCTGTACTGCCATGATCACAGCCACATTACAGGTGAGGGGCTGCAGCTACAAGAGGCCCCCAGGCTCCCAGCACAGGTCTGTCCGACATCCGAACCCAAGCACATTTAAGTCACCCAACACTCTCACCAAGCCCTGACCAGCACTGGCCCAGCCCTGTCCTGTCTGCACAGCACCTAGAGCAGCCGTTGGAGACCAGCCTCCACCTGCCGGAGCTGATTTCAACGCAGCAGAGGAAAGAGTCACCAAACAGGGTGCACTAAGCCATGTCCTGCCTGCAAGCGTAAAGCACAGCATGTGGGTGAGCAGCTTCCTGGGGACGAGGGATTGGACTCAGCCCCGGAAGGTTCTGAAGGGCAGGATGGTGAGCAGAGGCCAGCAGAACAGGAAGACTCTAAGTTCCTCCCTGGGCTTGGGAGGCCACAGGCAGCTCCACCCTGCAGACCACTCCTCAGTCTGGACGCTAGAGGTGACAGGAAGCGGCACTTCTGAGTGAAGACCTGGGACAGTCTCTTTCTTGATTCTCATCTCAGCTCACTGAAGGCTGACACCCGAATGGGCAGTCACTTGAAACACCCTATATCCCATACGTGTCACCACGTCACTGCATCCCTATCCCACGTGGAGGAGGAATCCCTTTCTCCCTGAGCATCCGTCCGGTCCCACTGTCCTGTGGAGCCGCCGTGGGGAGCGTAAGATCCCTGGCCACACACAGAATCCCCCGGGGAAGCCAGCGCAGACCAACATGGTCCGAGTCCCTGTGGGAGCCGCTACTGTCGGGGCCCACGCAGAACCACTGCCCTTGGTGTGGTCATCGCATGGGAGGCCCGTGAGGCCCAGTGTGAAGGGCTCACAGCTTGAGATGCTTCTAAAAATAGGCAATGAAATCTTCGTTTGCTCTTGGAAAAACTCAAATTCCATGTCTAATGATTTCCTTCCCGCGAGAAGATTCTCCTCCGTCCTCCCCCTAATTCCTGCGCTGGGGAGCATGCCCTTCCTCCCAGTCACAGGCCAGCTCTAGGGGAAGCAGCACCAGTGACCCGTGACAGTCCCTTGGCATCCTCACTCCGTGCCACGCCGGCCCCACCTGACACACGTGCTGCAAGCTGGCCCTGACCACACCACCTGACTCTCGGACCAGGTGAGGCAGGGGGCGGGCCCTGTCAGGCACAGGAACGCTGTCAGGGCGGTTCGTTCTGGGGCCCCAGAGGTTCATCGCCATGCGCGTGGCACCCACAGTCAGACTCGCACAAACGGGCGGTGGGGATGGCAGCCTGGCTCTCACCACTCGCTCTGACACGGGGGCTGTCCTTCCAGTGCGGTGGTTAACGTGCATTAGGGCCAATTTTCTCCAAGTTGACTTCCATGGCCCCTCTTCACGCAGTCTGACCTCCTCACATGGGGTGCTCCCAACAATTACATACCAAGCCCTGTTGGGCATCAGACTTCGCAGACCTGGGGAACCCAGGGGGCAGGAGCACAGTCCAGCGGCCGCTCTCACGGCAGCGGCCAGGCCCGCAGGTCAGAGCTGTCAGCTCCCCAATATTTGGGAAGGTTTCCTTTCAAGGCCAGATGTCTGACCTGTAATAGGTCTGCAGTGGTTCCTGCAGCCAAGTGGGGCCTTGTGCTTCCCCTGAGTAGACTGGACAGGAATCCCCACACGTAGGGCAAGACCTTTCCAAGGCCTGTTGTGCTACTGCCCGTATTCATCCACGTGGTTCACAGTTCTCCAGCTGGACGGGGCCCCATTACAATGGGGCTGAGTTCCGACTTCCTGGAGCTTTGAGAGGAGCTATGCCGGGTGCTAGAGACTGAATGTGTGTCCTCTACGTTCCTCTGTTGAAAACCTAACGTCTAAGGTAGTGTCAGGACACCAGGCAGTGGGGCCCTTGAGAGGTGCTGAGGTCATGAGGGTGGCGTCCTTGTGATGGCATTGGAGCCCTTATAAAAGAGACCCCACAGAGCTCCCTTCCTCCGCCACGTGAGGACAGGGAGAAGGCACAGTCAGTGACTCAGGAGGAGGCCCACACAACCACGCTGGCACTCCGAGCTCGGGCCTCCAGCCTCCAGAACCGTGAGGAATGCCTTTCTGTTGTTTATAACCTGCCCTCTCTGTGGTATTTTGTTACAGCATCCCAAACGGACTGAGACACTAGGGCCCCTTCAGTTGCCATGGCCTTAGAACAAAGGACACTAAGAAATGCACCCTAATGACTGGGCAGAGCTTGCTGGTGATGTGCCCCCCAGACTGTGCGCCTGTGACTGCAGTGCCCACGAGGTCCAGGTGGGCCGGGGCAGGCGGGACCTGTGCTCTCAGGGAAGGCCTGCAGCCCCCAGACCTCTCCTGCCGCGTCTCCCCAGGAGGAGGACGCCATGCTCAGACCGGCTCGCCACTTGACCCACCTTGCTTTTCGAACTCTTCAAACAGGGTCAGGCTGGTGATGCTGGGCCCCGTGAACATGATGTAGTTCTTGCCGGCCGCGTTCCGGCACAGGCTCCTGGCCACCGCGCTGTGCAGCTGGGGTTTGTTCTTCAGCGCGTCCAGTGCGTCGGGGCCGCCGCCTTCCTTCAGGTGGACGTAAATCTTTAACAGAAACACACAGGGGTCAGTGAGTGTCAGGCCGGCTCAGAGCTCCGGGAAGCACAGGCTCCTGTCACTGGGCTGGACCGTGTGGGAAGCCACCCCCTCTCTGAGTCCCTGGCTCCACAGCCCCTGCCACCCCTACCATCTCCTCAGCCCACAGAGGCTCCAGGTCACTCCCAAGGTCACCCCGCGGCCTGAGCAGCTGGTGGCTTGGCACAAGCCTCTTCAGTTTGGAATCGTCAAGGTGGAGAAGGAGAAGGACAAACAGTTAGAAACAGTGAATCTAGTCACTGAGGTCAGTGCAAACACGCCCCAGTTCTGAAGCACAGAAGTGACTTGAGTTTAGGATAAATAAAAGTAAAGGCTGTGTCACCTGGGTGGATAAAGTGATGGTGCTATTTCCATTTGAATACAGCTTTTTAATTCACAAAGTATGTCCGTATTATTGTTTCCTGTGTTTTTCACAGTAACTACCACGCAGGCAGATGAGGCAGTAGTCACCCCACATTGTAGAGGAGAGGTGGGACCCGGATTAAAGCGTAGCAGAGGCCCCAGGACCAGCAAAGAGGATGTGCTGGACTGAGCAGACAGTTTTTAACCTCTGTCCCACGAATGTGCAAGAAATGGGAGTGGATTCAAGAAGTGCGTGGCCCTTGCTAGGGCCGACTGAGCCATGAAGAATCATCGTACGGGCATTAACTGCTGTTCTCTTAGGGACAACACTTCTTCCCATGGAATGTTCTGGGTGCCTTTGCTGGCAGCAGTGCACAGGCTAATAGTGCTCCCTGTGTCTGTCTCAGTGCCACACCTGACGCTTGGGGCAATGAGCCCAACTGGGACTGTCCTTTGAGGCACAGAGCTGCTGAGGGCAGAGCTGTCCATGCAAATGCCAGTGGTGCACTACTGAGGAAACCTGAGCTGGTCACAGGGAGGGCTCGGCCCATCCACAATGCCTGTCCTTGGTCAGATGACCTCAGACAATCACTCACGAAACATTGTCTGATGGTCCTGGGGCAAGTGGATGCAGGTCTAATCCTCAAAGCTGCTCACCTTCTGAGGGCAAATCCTGTCCCAAATGCATAGCCTAGGTGTCCTCGGGGAGCCGGGCAGGCAGCGGCATCATAACACAGAACATTCTTGTGGGGGACGTGGCAGGGCTCACATTTCATTTCGGGATCTCTCTACCTTTACCACCTCAATTCCAGAAGGAATCTCTCTGATAGAGGTAGAGGCGCCAGTCGTCTCTGACACGTGCCACATGTGATGCTGGCTGAGCGAGGAACGCATTTCTTAGAGGTCGTCTTCTCTCCTTCAGCCAAGCCCCACTCCTGTGGTCTCTGTACCCGAGGCCAGCTCTGACCCACAGCCTCCTCTCCCAGATGTCCTCCCTGAACTCTCGTCATACCCACGCTGGGCACGGTGTGTTCTGAAATCCACTTGAGGGGCAGTTAGTTTTGTCCTATGCGTCACTCGAAAGGAAATCCTCCATCCAAGCCCAGGATTGTCACCAGGGGATGGGAGGTGTGCTGTCCAAACCTCTCAGGCCCACCCCCACGTGGCTGGGGGCAGTCACTGGCACATGCAGCCTGAGTGAGGCAACGTTTCACAGGGTTAAAGGTAAAGTGCTGTGACCAAGTTCAAAAACTTAGCTGCGTCTAGTATAGGATGCAAAAATGTGACTTAGCAAGAATATTTTCAGGAAAAAAACAAAAACAAAACCCCTGAAGATGGATGACTATCATACTGGATACCACAGATGCCAGGAGCAATGGGACATTGGCCTGTGTCAACAGCAAGAGTGGTGACCAACTTATTCTCCGCTGGTCAATTCATGACAAGGCGTACAGAGAAGGGTAGTGGGTTGGTGTACAGTCTGCTGGGGCGGCCATTACAAAGGACCGCAGATAGGGCGATTTCAACAACAGAAAATCCTCTCAGTCCTGGAAGCTGGAAGTCCAAGGTCAAGGTGTTGGCAGGGCTGGTTCCTTCTGAGCCTCTCTCCTTGGCGTGTAGAAGGCCATCTTCTCCCCACGTCTTCACATGGTCTTCCCTCTGCATGTCTGTGTCCTGATCTCCTCTTGTTATAAGGACACCGGTCCTACTGGTCAGGGCCCACCCTCGTGACTTCATTTTACGTTATCACCTCTTTAAGGGCCCCATCTCCAAATACAGTTACTTTATGAGGTATTGGGGTTAGGACTTCAACACACGAATATGGGGGCCCAATCAGCCCATAACAGATAGGGTGGCACTAAACCTGGGGAGGGGAGCATGGAAGAATCAACAGCGGTTGTCGGGGAGCTGGGCTGCAGTGACGATAAACGTCTTTCTAAGGCAGAACCAGGACGAGAGTGCGCAAGAGGTAAGAGAACAGACCTGCCCGGCACCAGAGCCTTCCTGACACTCGGAGCTGCCCAAACACTGAACGGGTGGCCTCATGAGGCTGCAGGGCAATCCAGGTGGCCACATGGAAGGTCTGAACACCAACTGTGGGCTGGGCTGGACAGCTGTTGAGGTCCCTCCTGACTCTGAGATTTTGAGATTTCGTTCGCAACCCTTAGTGTTTAACTGGGTCTGAGTTTCAGATGCGGGGGGAGTGTGTCAGCGCCACAGGACAGTACAGACCACACACACATCACCTTCAGATGTGCCAACAAAGGTGCACACAGGACAATGCCTCCTTCAGATGAACTTGCAGCCCTGGTTCACGAGAGGACGAAAGCCTGGAGGCAGTCTGAGCGTGCCACCTGGGAGTGACCTGCCTCAGCAGAATAACTGCCCTGTTTCCACACCAACACAAAGGGTCCCCGGGGCTGCACTCAGTGGACACCGACCCTTTCCTGGTCTAATGGCAACCGAGAGCAAATCACACCTTCCTGATGGTTTCTTGCCACCAGGTGGTCCTCTGGGCAGCCAGGGCCTCTAAGCTCATCTCAGCAGTGAAGTTCATACTTTGTAAGGCGGGTCACCCAGGTCCCTGGGTCACTGGGGCCCCAAAGCATGGCGCACCTTCAAAATGATTTCCAGGCTAGATTCAGCTGCGCAGACCAGCGTCCCCTCCCTCCCTCTCCGCTCCTGTTGGAAGCTTGGTGATCCTCGGGGTAGCGGTGAGGGGGCACACAGGGCTGCGTGGAAATGCTATGTCCCTGTTGGGGTGACATTCACAACAGAACTGGGGTGCCCAACCGGGGAACGGCGAGCCGTGCACACAGCTGTGACTACATGGCCGCTTCCCTTGCTCATTGCGAGACACATGTCAAGGTACAGAAGCAGGTATCTGACGGCAAGGGAAGGGCTCTGTGACTCAGATCGCCCCCGCCAGGGCATGACGGGCCAAGGCGGCTCCACGTCACCAGCGACTGCAACCCTTCCCTGTCACCAGAGCTGGAGGACATCTCTGAGGTCGTGTCCAAAGAGCCTCCCCACTCTCCGGGCCACAGGCAAGGCAATGAGTGCCACTCCTCTCGGAACAGGCTGGAGTCAGGGCTGTGCTGTGACTTCCGTGGGCCCCCTACTTCCTCCAGCCTCCTCCACCATAAAAAACGTTCACTTATATTTTACCACTGTATCACCATTACTTATTAAAGCGCTTTCTTCAACGGAAAAGTCTGTCTCTTTCCTTCTGATTTTGAAAGAAATGAGGACATGCCCAGAACCCCTAAAAGTGATGGCCCTCGTCACGGCCCCTGCTCTGCCTGGTGGACAGTGGGCCCCAGCAGTTAGGGCAGTGAGGGCCGCAGTATGGCTCGGAGGGAGGAGCAGGAAGAGGCAGTGAGGCGTAGTCTAGGCGGGGGTGGTGGGGGCCAGATGCACGAGCCCAGGGTGACGGTGTTAGGATGACGCCTGAGACCTCCAAGCAGAAGCCTCAGGCACAAGGAAGCACACACTACACAAGGTGAGGGACGGGGCTGTAGAGAGACGAGCTGTCCATGTGCAGGGGTCAAATCCCGGCATCAGCTGAGCCAGACTCCTGCATCACCAGGGTTTGGGGGTGGGCCACAGAGGAGGGCTCACAGAGAACCGTGGGGTGGAAGGATGGGCTGGGGGGGGGGAGCAAAGGGTGAGGGGAAGAGGTAAATGTGTCAAGGGGGAAGGAACAAGCAAGGCCCGGCAACCTGGCAGAAAAATAGTGACTGGATTTGGCTGTCCGGGGGATGCTGGCAATTTTGTCAAGCTCATGTAAATAGAGGCAGAGCTGGAGCAGAAATCTGTTTCTAATGACAACACTATTTGAGATCCAGTGTCAAATTATTTCTGCACTGACACACAACTGTCCTTGCCTTACACAACTTGGGGCACTCTGTCTATGGCTGGTGTTTCTGTACAGATATCCACACTCAAATAAACTCTGCGTATTTGTTGCTTTTTTGCTGCACAAGAAATTACCACAAACACAGAGGCTTAAATGATACCATTGATCAGTGACGGCATGGGCGGTTTTTCTGCTCAGGGTAGCCCCAGGCTGAAACCACCCACTCACCATCCTCCTCCAGGCTCAGTCAGGTTATTCCCTGTGGCTGCAGGACTGAGGTCCCCAATACCCACTGGGACGGGGACTGCTCAGCTCCTATAGGCCATCTGCACTCTTTGCCACACGGCCCTTCATCATCGCAGCCAGCAGTGCAGAACCCCCTCGAGCTGACCGCCTCCCTTCAAACCCCTTTGCCAGGAAGAGCCCAGGTCCTTATCAAGGCTTTCCTGATTAGGCCAAGCCCACCCAAGATAATTTTCATTTTAAGATCAACAGATTTGGGACTATAATTATGCCTGCAAAACCAAGGCCCCTTCGCAGCTAACACCTAGCTCAGAGTCTGAGTGGATAATGGGAGAAGGTGTGCACACACCGGAGCAGGAATCTCATGTGCACCTCAGAATTCTGCCCACCACCCACATCACTCATAGGGCTTGGAAGAACTTACGCACTGTAGCGGATAAACGGGGTGCTCCCCCTTTTAGGAAGAGTGATGATTATGTCTACTTCGTTCCCTGGGACATACTGA